CTCTCTCTCTCTCTCTCTCTCTCTCTCTCTCTCTCTCTCTCTCTCTCTCTGCGTATTATAATGATGTCGTTCTAAATTTTTGAAATCTTTGAAAATAGTTTGGTAATCACAGAAAATATAAAACTAGTTGTAACTACGTGTCGTCTTTCTTCATATCTTCCTAACATCATCTATGTATTTCTGGCTTCGTCTATAGCTGTGTTTTCTATTTACAGTCATACTCCAGATATTTCTATACTAATACTACATTTTTATTTTTTTTATTTCTCCTTTCTCTTTCTTCTCCCCTCCCTCTCCCTCTCCCTCTCTCTCTTCACAAGATCATTAGCTTGCTTGAGCTATGAGCATTTTTCTGGATGACACTCACTTTTTTCTTTCTTTTCATTTTACACTTTAGGGAAGAGAGAGCACAGAAGCTGCTTCACACTTCTTCGACTTATAATTCCAAATGATCAGATGCTATAAACGATTTGCTTACATATCACCTTGTCCGCTCTTCTCACATTCCTCTTACTACCACTTCATACACTTCCCTCTCTCTTATACTGTTCTCCATATATCTCGTACAGACGTCTTCACTTCACCCAATCAAAATCCTTTTTTGGAGTTCGGACTAATACACACATACACACACACATACACACCCAAATGAACTTTCTAACACATATTATATGTTTACAAATATTTTTTTGGGTAAAACGTTAGTTAAGCGCCATAAAGGTGACCTGATTGCAACAACTGTTATAGGCATTCCTTCTATCTGGTCTGTGATCTGTTGTCTCGTTAAGTACACCAGGCTTTTCATCATTAACAGTGACTCATTACTTTCGCTACATTTTTTTGCTAATACATTGCCATTCCTTTGAATATCATTTGTATTCATGTAAAGGTGGCTCCCCTTTACATCTCATAATCGTTGAACTGCTTGGTCTGTTCCTATCATCATTCCCATTATTTCATAGCCCTTTAACCTAGTGCTGCCGGATTCACAGTTCTACCGAACACCGGTATAGTGATCGTTAGCGTTGACGCAGTTCTTACTTTGATTACTTTTTGATGAGCGCGTGCGTTGTCGCGAAACGGCTTCTCATGCAGTCAGTTGTTGCACCGGTTTAGGGTTGAATTGCGTGTGTTCTTCTCAATCTTCTTCGTGAGATGCAGAAAGAGGAAGACACTGCGTCGTCGGCGACAACGACAACGACGACGACAACAACGTCAACGAAGACGAATAGAAAGAAAGGATAGAATCAAAGCCACTGAAAAGATTGTAAAGACGTCCGCGACAGCAGCTGAATCGACGGTCACTTTGCCTTATTTATCAATCGATTTTCGAATAGCCACTGATGCTTAGTTCCATTCATTTCCATATTGTTCCTTACTCTCGTTTGTTTTTGAGCTTATGCCCTGCTTGTATCTTCTCGTTGCTTTTTTTGAAGCTTTGAAATGTCTCTTGTATGCTCACAGAGTGAGTTCACATTACAAACCATTCTGTGATGAGATTGGAGCTCAGATGCGATGTGTTGAAGTAAGGATGACGTGCCCCTTGATGACCTTCATTTGATCAAAACGGCATCTCAATAAACAACAACTTTCCTTCTGAATCTCGGTCATTTTCATATTCGTTCTCATCTTTTTCTCATTGCAATCGATAATGTTCTCGTTTGCCTCCATTTGTGTATAACTTTTCGTGAAGCTGATCTATTGTGATACTTGACGTGTGTTCTTCATTAACATAGCTTGAGGGGGGGGGGGGGGGGGGGGGGGGGGGGGGGGTGGGGGGGGGGGGGGGGGAGAAAAGCAAAATTGAACC